TGGTGCTGAATGGTTTCCACTGGGCTGATGCCATGTAGGTGAGGGTGAGAGCCTCAGTCGTCAGGGAGTGATGTGTGCAGTTGGCATCTCCTGTGCTGTTGCTTAGTGAGTGACTGCTTCCAAAATGCCCCAAAGCACGGAGCCTGTGTGCTGCCACGGGTTTGCTGGAGCAAGACTAGGTGCGTGAATGCAGCCTCTTTTTCTCCTGGAGAAAAAAAGTGAGTGTTTTTCCAGCATGTGTTTCTCCTGTGCACGTTGCAGCCCAGCACTGTGTGTGGATCTGTGTTGCTGCTGGGACTGCGCTGGTGCTGCTTTTGTTACCAGTGATTGATGCTCCAGGTGTGCCTCTGCTTAAAGCTCCTCTCACATCACCCATTCCCTTTCTTTTCTTTCCGCCATCCTTTGAAATTTCCTTTCTGATCCCAATGCTGCTGCCCACCAGGCTGCGGGTCTTCCCTCCGTGCCACCAGAACAGAGCCATCCCCGGGAGCTGGGAGCCTAATTAAGGCACGTAATGAATCTGCAGAAGGAGATGGCCCACTGCACTCGTGCATCCTCGGGGTTCTTCCTCCACTAAGTTAATTGCATCAGACAGCTCTTAAAATAGGGTGCTGTGCCTCCTGGGGGTGGCTCAGGGCTGAGTCCTGGGGAGGTGCTGCTCCTAAAAATACATTCTTTGCTCCCTCTGACCTTCCCACAGCAAAACCCCACGGTGGCATCGCCCTCTGTGTGCTCAGGTTGGTTCTGTCACCGATTGCAGAGCTCAGGTCCCTCCTCTCCAGCTCTAATTAATGGTAGGTGATAATTTGTCTCCAGTTGAGTTGGAATTGAACGCTAAATGGATGCTTGCCCCCATGAAGAGGCTGGGCTTCACGCTGATTATGACAGAACAGAGTATTACTTATATAAGTGTGATGATTTACGCTGCCTGGAGCTCTGGATTTTCTCAATATATGACAAATCTGAGGCATTTAAAAAAAAAACGAGACGCTTACTATATTTTACATTATTTTCTAGAACGCGGATCCCTGTGGGCTGCCTAGAAATCCATTAGCATGGAATGTAAAGATGCTTAGAGGCATTTACCCGGATTAGCTGCCTTTATGTAGTCAAGGATCTTTTATATGATTACCTTAAAAGCTAAAGAGCTGCTGCAAAACATTTATAACCCGGAGATTCTGAAGCGAGGAGGGCGCATCTGACAGAAAAATTAAGCTGTTCAAAAACAAACGTTTCGACTTCCAGACAAACAACATGGAAGGTGAAGGCAGGGAGCACACTGAGTAGCAACCCCTTGGCAATCCGTGGTCCCTGCTTGGGCACAGCCCCCGAGGAGCAGGACAGCAAGAGCTGTGCTGGAGCAGATTCCTGTGGCAATGCCTCACACGGCACAAAATCGCACATATCTCTTGTTTTCAGCTGTAGGGAAATCTTTTCAAGTGTGGAAGGGGAAGGGAAGGCGCAGAAAAGCATCGGTGAGCTTTTTTGCTGCTCCTTCTTCCTTCAAGGGCAGCTTTGGCAGCCGCGCATGGAGGCCGGCATCCTCCTGCTCCTTTGTCCTTTAGAATAAAAAGTCATTTGTCAGCAAAAGAAGCAAAGTTTTGTTTTTCAGTCTGGATCTGGCTGTCCTCCCACTGAGACTTTCAACTCTTTATCTCAGGAATTGATGGTCTCGGGTTCTGATCCTCTTTCCTTGGTGTTTGTATTGATTTTTTTTTTTTTCCAGGAGTGTTATTTTCACCGTGGTTTCAGAGCCATCCTTCTGTCTCCACTTACAGTCAGTAATAGCTCAGCTCGCAGAATTACCCATTTTCTGGGCCGTGTTGGTCCCAGCTCTTTGCAGAAGCTCCTGGGGTGGCCTGAAGCCGGGTCTGCTGTCCCCATATTGTCAGTGGGGCTCATCCCTGTGCCTGGTGGGGCTGTGTCCCCTCAGTGCAGCCCATGAGGGCTCAGGGGACTCTCCCTGTTCCACGTCTGCGCCCAGGAATGAATAAATCCCAGTCTTGATTCAAAAAAGCTGCTCCGTTTCCTCACCCCCGCGACGGTTTTCAGTCATCTCGTCTTGCCAAAGAAAAATTCATGAGATCATTCCCCCACAACAACACGATGCTTCAAACCCGTAATTAAAATACCTCTGGCTGTTCTAATATTGAGCTTTTATAAGTGCTCGGAATAATATCTCAGAGAAATGGGAGAGCTTTGTACTCTATCAGCATTGACATACCCTTCTCCCAGTGAAATATCTCGAGCATCAAATCCTCCGTGTATGCGGAGGACACCCTTCCCTGTTGGCTTCCTCTATGGAGGGAGAGCCTACACCTCCCCAGGGCTCTCAGTGGTGAATGAAGCTGTCCCAAGGGTCCATATTGATTCGGTGGATGACATTAATACCTTCCAGTGTACCAGCAGCAAAATCCGGGCTATGAATGCTAAGCGGGCGGCTGCTGCTCCCCAGAGATGGGTAAGCAAGATCCCATACATTACACCACGTGAGTCGTGTGTCATATTAGAGCAATCTAGTTTTAAAGGGCATCTTTCAGGCACAAACTAGCTTTTTCTCACACTTGACTGATCACACAAATAACTGTGATTAAAGGTCAAGTGCCTGGGTTTTTCTATTTTACTCCTTAAAAATTTATATGCGAAAGAAAACCTAGAAGTTAACATAGCATGAAATTGTTATGCAGTTATGAGTCTTTAACGACAACTAAATATCACTTTCCTTCCTGGGTGGCTGGCAAAACCTCCAGTAATAATGGGACGTTTCTTCTGGTTTCCACTCGAGGAAGATTATAAATAAACCCTGTCCTTTGCTTCCCTGCCCTGTAAAGTGATGGAGGGGAGATTTATTTTAATCAGGTTGTTACTTGACTCCAGGGCTGAGAAAAGGCAGTCGATGTGTGCCTGGTGTGGGTGAGAGATGGGGCACCCAGTGGGGATGTCTGTACCAGTACAATTCTGCACCCCAGGGTCTGGGTTTCAGGGCTGACTGTGGGGTCGGTGCTTTGGGGTGAGAGGGGATTGCTGGCAGGCAATCAGAAACACAGCTCTGTATTGCTGAACCTGAGTGTGAATATGGGCAGGAAAAATGTTCCCTCCATTTGTGCAGAATGGCCACAGCAGCACCTCCCAACAACCCCTGGTTTCCAGCAGATTGGTTCTCTATTGCAATGCTTCCCAAACCTCTCAAAAAGCAAATGTGCCTTAGGTGTTTAAAATAAAACGCTCAGAAAGATGAGATTAAAGCAACGTTGCCCTCAGGGTCTTGAGCTGGTCCTCGGGTCGCTGAGGATTCCCAATCTTGCAGGGATTGCTTGAAGTTACTCACATAGGTGGTCTCATTGACTTCAGGAAGGGCATACTTGGAAGCCAGGGCACAAGGCAAATGAACTGCAATCACCATATCTAATTAATCTAATTATGCAGTGTGCAAATCTGAGTCTGATTGGCAGCAGGCTTCAATGGGATACAGTAAACTTATGCATGTATGAAGGAGGCACTGCAGAACTGAGATGTTTCTGTGCATTTGTTGTGGTTACAAACCGCTGCTCTTCCTGCAGCACTGTGCCCCCTTTCCTACGGGCATCATCTCTGTGTTCCTGCTCCAACAGACATCCCCACACCTCTCCCTTCATGCCCAACCCAGCCCCCAGTGCTGGCTGCCGTAGCTGCAGACTCAATGTTTTTATTCCAGGCTTACAATGTTTTACATTTGACAGCACATAATTACGGCGTGGGGAACAACCCACAGGAATAAGTGTTGCTACATAAGCAGACTTCAGCATTGGGTTGTACAGCCATCAGGGAGGCTGACGGGTGTTCAGCCTGTTGAGATTTTGCAGGGACCTGTAACACCTACAGTTAGCAGGAACTGAAGCACGCTGCCTTCCTCCTGGGCACAGGCAGCTGCACACCCATGGCCTGTGCTTTCCTGGTGCTTCCTTTTGGCCAGTGGAAATTTATGGCATCTACAGCACCTTGAAATACAGCTGAGAATCCAATTCCAGCCTGGAGAGGCAGAGCCTGAGGCTCGAGGTGAACTTGGCACACCCAGGCATGGCTCTCAGGTGGTGCATGAACGAGGTCTGCAGGTTTGTGCAGAGCACAGACTTTGCAAACTCAGGAGCAACATGGGACTGTGGTGCTGGTGCAGGAGGTCAGAACAGAGGGATCTGGAACACCCTGAACAGGTTGCCCAAAGAGGCTGTGGATGCCCCATCCCTGCAGGCATTCAAGGCCAGGCTGGATGTGGCTCTGGGCAGCCTGGTCTGCTGGTTGGCGACCTGCACACAGCAGGGGATTGGAACTGGATGAGCATTGTGCTCCTTTGCAACCCAGGCCATTCTATGATTCTGTGATCTGCTGGACACCTCTCATTTCTCCAGCAGTTTGCAGGGGGCCAAGGCTGTGCAGCCACCCCAGCGTGACAGGACAGTGGCAGTACTGGGACAGGGACACCATTCATTCCCAGTCTGTCCATCTAGGCTGCAGGAGGGTGCGTTGCTGCCTGCTGAGGCCCTCTGCTTTCACCTGCCCCCATGGCTGTACAGCTTTGGGGCCGCCCATTGTGTGGTGCAGAGTGAAGCCAACCCCTCAGCCCTCCTGCACTGCTGAGCAATGGGAACACGACAGTAGGAGGCAAACATCACCTAACGGGAAAGCCTGCTGCATTAGGGCTGCGACCAGAGGCATCTCAGCTTCCCCAATGGCCAAGCAGTCCGTCAGCTAACATCAGACAACGATCCCTGCCCTTCACACTGAGGCCGGGAATCCCACTGCCCGTTCCAACCCCGCGAGCCTCGCGACGCACAGCCGCGCCATCAGTCGGCTTCAGAGTGAACGCGGCTCGCCCCGCCCCCTGACCCCCATTGGCTGTTGGGCGCTCTAAGCCCCGCCCCCTCGGCGGGGGTTGGCTGGAGGTGGGGGGAGCGGGGCGGAGCGCGGCGGTCGGAGCGCGGCGGCGGCGGCGGCGGCGCGGGGCGAGCGGAGTCGGGGGCGTCATGGAGACGGCGAGCGACGGCGGCCGTTTCCCCCGGGCGCTGCCGCTGCTGCTGCTGGTGCTGCCGGTGCTGCCGGTTTTGCCCCGCGCCGCCGCCGAGCAGGGTGAGCGCATCCCCGGCACCGCCCGTCGGGTTGAGCGCTTCGCCTCCGGTGCGGTGCCGCTCTGTGGGTTTCCCTTCCCTGTGCAGCCCTCGGGGATCCGCCGTGAGCTCGTTAAAAGGAACGGGATGGGGAAGGAGGGAGGGCGCGGGGTACCGCTGTATCCGCAGGAAGGGAGGGAGGAGCGGGCTGGGATGGAAGGCACGGGCGGTGCGGGGCGCAGTGCGGGCACGGCATGGCTCGCCGGGTTGCTGTTTGCTGCCAGCGAGCGACTCCTGAAACTGAGAACGTGGGCAAATGCCCCGTCCTGCCGAAAGAAACGGGCTGTTCTGTGCGAGAAGAGTGACTTAGAAGCTGGGATGTATTATTTAAAGGAAATTCGGGCTGAGATCTTTGCGGGGTCCATCGGGCAGCAGCGGGTTCGTTAACCTGTGTTCCTCTCCGCAGTCGTCCTGATGGACTCGAAAGAATCCCAAGCGGAGCTGGGCTGGACCTCACACCCTGCCAACGGGGTAAGGGCAGCCCTGGGTGCTGCGTGGGGCTTGCATGGGAATCCTTGGTTGTGTGGGGCTGAGAGAGCCGGCGTGGCCACGGGGATGGAGTGATAAAGGCGAACACCTCCCCAAAATGCACCCTGTGCTCCTATAGAGCAAATTGTCAGCAATCTGAGTGGCACAGGGGTGAGCTCCAGTCCGTTCCCTGCAGCAGGAGCTGCTGTTGGCAGAGTATGGCAGCAAAGTCAAAGTTTGTGTTCCTCACTGCTTCAGCTTTGTTTTCCAGAAGGCAAACAGAGTGTTTAGAGGGGAAAGTGAAGCATCCTGGAGTCGTCTACCTTCCCTGGCTGTCAATCTGCAGAAGAAACAGTGTTTTGGGTGCATTTAGCAAGCTGGCATAAATATACCCTCAAAAAGAATTGCTTTGGGAAGTGTCAGGGCATCCTTAAAGCTTGAATCACCAGCTTGCTCAGAATCTGTGCTGGTGATTTTGATTGCACTTGCAGGCAAAGGACTCATCCTGTCCCAGCTCTAATTTCTCCGAGCAGAGGAGCTGCTGCTGGTTGTGATGTTGTCACTGCATGATGGCTCTGTGTGTCCTGAACCATCTGTGCCTTCTGTGGGTGGCTCTAGGAGCTCCGGTGTGGGATGGTTCCACAGCCCTGTGACCACAGCGTGTGGTTTGGGTGGCTGAGGGATGCTCAGTGCCTGTGCTGTGCTGTTTGTAGGTGGTGAGGCAGCTGGGGAGGCACTTATAGTGGTGGCTGTGTTCTGCTCAGGCTTTGGCTCCAGCTGCCAAAGCCTCTCGGCCTCTATATTCTTTTCACAGTGGGAGGAAATCAGTGGTGTGGACGAGGAGTACAAACCCATCCGTACCTACCAGGTGTGCAACGTCATGGAGCCCAACCAGAACAACTGGCTGCAGACGGGTTGGATCGCCCGGCGCGACGGCCAGCGGATCTTCATCGAGCTGAAGTTCACCCTGCGGGACTGCAACAGCATCCCAGGTGTGACAGGCACCTGCAAGGAGACCTTCAACCTCTACTATGCCGAATCCGACGCCGATCTGGGCCACAGCATCCGCGAGAGCAAACACACCAAGATTGACACCATTGCTGCCGACGAGAGCTTCACGCAGGGGGACCTGGGCGAGAGGAAGATGAAGCTGAACACAGAACTGCGGGAGATCGGGCATCTGAGCAAGAGAGGCTTCCACTTGGGCTTCCAGGACGTGGGTGCTTGCGTGGCCCTGGTCTCCGTGCGGGTTTATTACAAGAAGTGCCTCAGCACCGTTCAGAACCTGGCGGTTTTTCCAGATACGGTGGCAGAGACGGCTTTTGCCACGTTGGTGGAGGTGAAGGGCACGTGTGTCGAGCACGCCCGGGTGGATGTGGATAATCCCCCCCGGATGCACTGCAGTGCTGAGGGAGAGTGGTTGGTGCCTGTCGGGAAGTGCCTCTGCAGCCCAGGCTTCGAGGAGAGGGACGGGAGGTGCAGAGGTAACGGGGCTGTTTGCATCTTTTTGGCTGTGGGAGAGCGCTGGGTGGACGTGCCAGAGCTCTGAATACCACCAGCATTTCCCCCCAGCTTTATTTGGAGCCCTAAAATTACCCCCTGTCGTTAATATCCCCATCGCCGTGCTTTAGACGCAAGTTAATAATTTGGTGACTTTACAGCTCTCAAGGTTGCTTTTAATGACAGCTGTAAAAATGAATATAACCCTGACCTTCCCTGGGGTCTTCTTAATGAACCCAGTGCTGGGACCATTTTGGAGCAGGAGAGGTGGTGGCTGTGGGTACGGGGGATGCCTGGGAGCTGCGGGAGGCGAATGTGGGCATCCGTCTGCACATCTCTGATGTGTCCCTGGGGATTGCCATGGGCTCGTGTGAGTGGAGCAGCTTGAGCTGTCCTGGTGTGAATGGGTTTCGGTGTGAGAAAAGCTCTTGTTTTCACATGTTGGGTAGCATCGGTGCTCGTTCTGCAGCATGGAGCCTGCTGCCTTCAGAGCAGCACAGCCTGGGGCTGCTGGAAAGCGGGCAAAGAAGCACCGAGGCCAGGGGTTGCCAGGGCCCAAGTGCTTCAGCTCTGCAGTAGGAGAGTGAGGTTTTCCAGAGGGAGAAGATGTGCTTCGATGGCGCTGCTTGAGGCTTTATGGATGTGAACGGTTCAGACATTCCCCTGAACCCGGAGGGGTTTTTATGGTGCCCCAGCAGTGACTCTTCATGCGCTGCCCTCCTCCAAAAGACCTTATTAAAACTATGGGGTTGAAATCTCATCATTGCTGACTGCTTCAGTGGCTGCGTGGCAGCTCGCCACGCTTTCCCCATCTGTTTGGAGTGGGAATTTACATAGCGAGTCCCAGAAGGCTTTTGCTAATGTTTCAGGTTTCTCTGTGTTGAGTTTAAATAATTCATATTCTCTAAGGAAAAATATCTCAAGTAATTTAATGGACGTAATTAAGTTTTTCCCCCCTCGCACAGAAAGCAGGTCATTAGTCACTCTCAGCGGAGCAGCATCTTATGTCTGGTCAAATATCAGAAAACAGTTTTAAGAGTTGAAAGTTTTCGTGTGTGTCTTATTTCCTTCTTTTTTTTTTTTTTTTAAAGCTTTGAATAACTGTAGAAGATTTGTGATGAAAGCCTTTCCGGGCTGCAGAAATTGCTGTGCAAGGACAGGAGCCCTTGAATTGGAAGTGGATAAAGGGAAGGGCTGTCTGGGGATGCTCTGTGCCCAGCAGTGCAGCCAGGATGCTGGGCACCAGCCTGGTGTTGCCCCTCATAACCTGTCCCATGCTTGGCAGTGGGATGGCAGAAGTGATGCAGGGCAGAGCTTAGAGGTGAAGGAAAGGCAGGGAAATTAGCTTTATTTCCTGCTGAATGCGGCTTCGAGTTGAATCACACAACCTCCTTGCTCTGGTGATTTAGGTGCTGAAATCACCCTGCTGCTGCGAGAGCGTTTGTATCCTCACACTGAAATTAGGAGAGATGAGAAAAGACTAATAGGATTTACGGCGCTGCTAATTAGTGCTGTGATAAAGCCAAGCCTTTTTGCTGTCCGTCTTCCCACATAGCACCGTTCCTCTGAAGAAATCCCAGAGCACCCGACAGCTTTCCTGGGTTTGCACATTTCTGATGAATCATTTTGGTGATCATTGAAACGCAGCCATCTCTGGGGTGGAAGTGAGCAGCTTTAGCATCTGCTTAACATCTTCCTGCGAATGAGAGGAGAGCTTCTGTCACTGTAAATACATTTAAACTGCTTTTCTTGTCTAATATACACCTCCAGCCAGCTGCTGGCCTGTGCTTACCCTGATCTTAAAACCTATTTCCAGCAGATGCACGGTGGGCGGGTGGAAGGTGCTGCAGCACTGTGGGCCATCTCCTGTCCATCCCTATCTTGTTTTCAGTTGGCTTCTCAGCACTGATGTCTTTTTGCCCTTCGTTTTGCCAGGTGTGAGCTGCAGCCCTTCCACGCCATTCACTTTGCAACAGCTTCTGTGTAAAATGAAGCTGCGATGTGAGGGATCTGCCTGACGTCTGCTGTGAAGTTGTCTTTTGTGCTTCATCTTTCCCATCCAATCCCTTGCAACACCCGCAAGGAGAATTTCGACAAAGCCCAAGGTTAATATTTACCAGCCAGTTTTGTTGCAAATGAGACAACTTCAAGCAGACGTTGAATTAATGTGACGGAGATCCGCTTCCAGAAATAGCTGTCAGCCACTCTTCTTTGACAGAACCGTAAATTTGTGCTGTGGTTCAGTCTCATCCATTTGTTTCCCTCTGCTTTTTGACAGGAGTGGTGGGAGCTGGCGTGGAGCTGCTGGGACAGCAGTGCTGCTGTCACCTACATGGGGCTCGGTGGCAGTGACAATCAGGTCAGGCGGCTGTGTCCCTTCTGTGCGAGGATCATACATTGCTGATGCTAATTTTAGGGAGAAAACAGTTGCTAGTGCTTTGTCTGGGTTTTTAGAGTCTGTTCTCAAGTGAGTTTGATGGGGGTGGAAGGGATGGCTTTGCCCTCTGTGGTGCAGCAGGCAGGGTTGTCCTGGAGTGTCCATCCCTGGTGGTGTGCAGGGGGATGCGGGGGCTTTACAAGGTGAGAAGCTGTCTCTGTGGTCTTGAAATGCAGAGATGAGGCGAGGGGTCAGCAGCTGCTAGAAGAACACGGTCTTTGCTAATGGCATCTACTGGTGGTGCAAAGCCTAACTCACGCTGGATGCTGTGCAGTTAGCAGCAAGTGAGCTCTGCTTGGATCCATCAGGATCTGCCCGTTGGGGTGTCCTGATGGATCCACCAGCAGAGCAGTGCCTCTGCCCCAATGCCTGTTTGAGCCAGTTTTGATGAGAATGGATCTTATTTTGCAAAAAGCAAGGCTGCAGTAGTAGTCCTTGAATTTGATTTTCCAAAGGGGAGCACTGCAATAGAGGAAATATTCACTGTTCCATAAAAGCAGCCTTCCACCTCTCGTCCCACCAGACCTCCCCTCTGCTCCTTGTGCTGCTGAGTGCCGTGGGCTGAGGGTGGAGGAATGCCATCTCTGCCTTCAGCCCCTTTTTGCTGTGCACACATCTCCTGGGACTGCCATAAAGAGCTTTTGTTGGCCAGCTGCTCGTGCTGGATGGCAGCACTCATGCTTCCTCTTCTTTGGGAGAAGGGAACGAAACCATCCAGTCCCCTTGCCCAATGCAGGATGGGGATGCTGAGAGAGGGGCTGCGTCGAAGGCAAAAATCAAAATTAGTGATCCTGAGAACCAGTGCAGCATCTTGTGATGGCAGTGCGCTGGAATATTGCCACTGCTCAGCTGTTTGCTGCCCTTCTCTGCAAGCTGTGGTGTCAGTGCATCCTTTTCCTGGCTGATTTATGTGTTCTGCCCCCCCCCCCAGATGTGATACAGCAGTCGTGTCTGACTGGGGGTGGTGGGAAGATCCTTTCCTCTGTGGCTTATGCCCCCATCAGAACGTCGTGTCTCTACAGTAGTTGAGAAATAAAAAAGTTTGAGTGGGAATTAAAGAAATTTAGAGTAAACAGTTGCAATATTCTGTGGGTCGTTACAAAGGTACCTCCTGAAGCCCAAGGTCTCCTTTTCCATTTAAGTACAAAGAAGATGGATCTAAATGCTCAGCGCTTGGGGCTCCTGATTTGTTTCATCTTTTATACATTAGCTTACAAACCTGTGTGCACTCCTGGAGTTTATTTTATCTCCTGAATGATGCCAGGGTATTATGCATAATAAATTTATTTGTTCTCCTGGGACTCTGCACTGAGCACCAGGCTTTCCTTTCATCCTCAGAGCATCCTGTGCAGCCTGTGGGATGCTCAGCTCTGGGCCTGGAGCTGGGCATGCCATAGTGGTGTGAAATGAGGACACATTGAGAGGGGCTGAGGGAGTAAATCCGTGCTGCAGTTAGAGGACTAATTGGTGAGGAAGTTTAGATTTGGGCTTCCTCTCTGAATTATTGGCTTTCTCCTCCTGGGGGTTGTGCTCTTGCAGAGTGTGGCTGGAGCCCCTTTTTGACCTGAGCAAAGTGACTGGTTTTTAAGGTGTGGGGAGCGTGGCACTGAATGAATTCTGAGTATCTGCCCATCAGCAGCCCCTGGGGAACCCGCAGTGCCTTTGGTAGATGCTGCTCTCCTTAAGTTCTGCAGACGGACCACCCATATGAAATATGCTTTCTCTTTGGTCTCTTTTTGGAGTAATGATCAAGCTCGGAGATATTTATTATTCTGGATTGCATGTTATATTGCTGTATTATAGTGTGTCTGAAATAATTATGGCTGTGGAAATTGTGGCAGAGCCAGACACAAATTACTCTATGACACTTAATTTTAGACCAAACTACTCAGAAAATTGCAAGCATCACAGTTGGCTTGCAGCATTCTTGTCAGGCCTAAGGTTATACAGACCTGGCTGCTGGATGGACACGGTGGTTGTTCTGCTGAAATACAAAGGGAAACCCATCTTGCCCCCAGCTCAGGGGGCATTGCAGGGACTCACACACTCAACACAAGCAGGGTGAGCTGGAGGTGTGGGTTGGCCAGCCCTCAGCATGGGAGGAATTGGCTGGCTGTACTGGGGAACTGTAAGGGACAGCAGTAAACAGCAGTTGGCTCCATGGATGTGCCTGCATTGATGTGTCCTTGAGGAAAATTCCTGCGTGAACAGCAATGAGTTTCTGCTTGGTTCTGTGGCACTGAATTCAAGTGAATGCCTTCTTGGTGCTGAATGGATTTTGATATTTCAGGACTGCCTTACTAAATATACTTGGGTATTTAATTTTCCTCTAGACTAAATCACAGAATTTAATTTCGGCTATTAAGAGCTCATTGTTGGAGATGCACAAAGATCTACCCTCTGGACACAGGTTTTCATTTCAGTACTTCTCCAATTATTTAGCGAGGACTGAAATCATAGAGTAGCGTTGTCTTAAAGCTTTCAAGGATGCTGGAAACGACTGTGGGCTTTTTGAAAGTGTTACTGAAAAAATGGCTATGAAAAAAG